CACAGTTATTCCCATCCCATGCTTTAGAGGCCACACGGGGAAGATCAGGGTCTGGGGGTTAAATGATCTTTCACGCTCCTCCCTTTCCCCCATTTTATTTCAATCATTCTATCATTCCTCTCTCTTTCTCTCACACCCTGCCTCTCTCTTTTTCTCCGTCCCTATATATTGTCTTCCCTCTTTTCCTCTCACACCCCCACATACTCTTCCTTTTGTAACCCCATTTCCTCTCTCCCCCCTCTGTCCCTTTTCCCCAATGCTCCCTTCTCCCCTATTTCTCCCTGTCTTTACTCCACTCCCTCTCAGCATAGCCACTGGGACATCTGGCCTTGTTGCCCTGTCCTTTTTGGTGTTAAACTGCCTTTAAGAGAAGGGCCAAACTATCCTGTAAGATTATGACAGTTTCACTGCCCGTATAATGAGATCCGTTGGAGAATGATGGCTTCTGCCTGAGGCCCTAGGAAACCCCCCCACTCCCCAGATGCATATCCTCTTTCTAAGGAGTCTTTGCTGCCGTTGCTACAGACACTCAAGCTCTGGAACAAAAAGCAGCAAAAGGTTGTGAGTAAATGGAGATCCTAAGACACGTTCCCTGCCATTTCCTTTCACTGCCATCCAGGAGCCTCACTTGCCAAGACCCTAATTGGGCCAGGCTTTGCCAAAATGGCTATTACTAGCATAGTGGCTTTCTCCACAGGTGTATTTAATTGGCTGTGCCTGCTGCTGCTGCTGTAGAAATGGCACCGACAAGAGACAAAGCAGGGAGCCCTTTGCTCTTTGAAATACAGACCTTTCCCAGGACACTGTTTTCTCCTCTCTTAGGAGCTGGAGAGAGGGACTGAGGAGGCAGCATGTGGAATGTCTGAGTCAAGAAAAACCTCATGGGAACAGGCAGAGAGGAACCTACTAAAACTGGTAACTAGAGCTCAGCAACTCAGTGATTTTTCAGTTGGGTGGCTGAACCAAAACATCTGAAAAAAAAAATTGGGTCATTTCAAACCAAAACTGATTTTTTTTCCCCTTGACAAAACAAAAAATTGTGTGTGTCAAACACAATTGTGAACATTGTTTGGAAGAGACATGTCAAAATGAACCATTCAGACTTCTTTGAATTTCTCCCCCTCGTTTTTTTATTCGGCCAAAACGGATCGTCAAATTCAACCCGAATTCACAAATAGTTTTGGTCTCCTGGAAACTGAATTTTTCGGCAAGTTTACCATTCAACCAATTTCCCCCCCACCCCCAGCTCTACTGAAAATGTTACACTCTCATAGTGTGAGTTGTCAGATGCCGGCTTAGAGGGGGCCCCCGCCCCGACAGTCAGGACCTGCTCATGCTGACCAGTCAAACCGTGTCAGAATCCCATTGAGGCTACAGCCAAGTTCAAATAGCCTTTAAGCACTGGTTTTAAAATGGGTGTAAGCTGGGGATCTTCTAACACAACTTTGCCCTGATGTAGACAGGGACTAAAAGTCTGGTCCCTGAAAGATGCACAGTGTCTTTCCCTTGATTTCAGTGTGAGTTGAGGGGCACTCAACACTTTTCAGGCAGTGCCCAGCACCTTGCAGGATTGGGTCCATATGAGAATGGACGGGAGAGGGGGAGAGGGGAAAGGATGCCACCAAAGACAATTAAAAGCTAAATTTCACAGAGAGCCACATTTCTGTGTGACCTGGTTATGCCCTGGAAAAGGCGTGGGCACCCACACATGCTCACAGAGCCATTTACAGTTCTGGCTCCTTGACTCATTGGCCAGCCTGTGATGGGAAATACAAAGTGTTTAGCAGCATTGGGCTTGCAGTACGGGATCAGATGGAGCACAGGCCTGGAGCCAACCAGCTCAAGCACAAATGTCTTTATTGTACACGAGATAACTATATGGCACTCTCCGAGAGCCAAATACCAGCAGCACGAAGTACACAAGAGGCCTTAGGCCCCGCAGATACATCCAGCTCAAGCTTTGCGGACAGACAGATAACTACACATTTGTAGCATACGCAGGGAGCGTTGGGGAAATCCTCTCAATTTAAACTCTGTTGGTCTTGATCCCTGGAGAGGTCTGTGCGGCCTGCTCAGAGGCGCGTGGGAAATGCCCGACTCCTGCAGGGTGGCAGAGTCTCTACCACAAGGACCAATATCTGATTCACACAAAAATGAAACCAGCCCCCTCCCTTACCTTGGGGGATGTTTGATTTGGTTTTCCATTTGTGGAGCCTCGGGATTCCCTGTCTCCCTGCTTTACATCCCCCACAGTTCCTGCCCCTTGCTGCAGCTGGCACTATTCCATCCAAGGAGCCTCATCCAGAATCTCTCAACACCACTCCCTGATCACAGCCCCCCCTTAAGCACAGGCCATAGGGAACAATCCTGCTTTTGCTCTAGAGTGCTGTTCTGGGGGAATCTAACAGGTCTCCTCCGCTTCTCATGTGTGTGATTCAGGCTGTCCAGGTGGGGTCCTGCAAGTTCCGCAATCCGTACAGCAGCCCCAACTCCCTCTCTGGCAGCAGACCCAGAAGGGATAGGGAAGTAGTCCCCCCTTCCCCCGAACTCTATTCTCCCTACTCCAGCAATAAGAATGGAGAAGGAGCAGCATGGGGCCCATTGCTGCTTGGAACCCATCCTGGCTCTAAGAACCGGGAGATGCTATCCAGTGACACAAGGCATTCCTGCCTCGGAGGCTGAGCCTGCTGCCTTCACACCAGGCACAGCCCCTGACTGAACAGGGGAGTGAGGGACATTTTGGTTTATGCCTGGTTTGGGAAGAAGGGACCCATTCATTCTGAAGATCTTCAGTTCAATGTAATAAGACCCTGCTCACCTAGCAGTGAGTGGGGCGCTGGCCTGGACGGAAGGGAAGATGAGCTGCTGCTTAGGGGATTTTTGGGTAGTTCAGTCCCCATGTTCATCCCCTCCCAGAACTTTCCTCACCCAATCCATTTCTTTTATTAGAATGAATTGGAATCAATCTCCACTGGCTACCCCTTCTCACCAGAAAAGGAGCCACAATCCTCCCTCCTTTCCACTTCCTTACCTAACTGGAGGGTCACGCAGGATGTATTTGCCCTTCTTGAGAAGAACAAGACTCTCCTTAGCAAACCCCCAGACCCTGTTCCTTATCTCTTGCTCCCATCTCCTCAGGGAAGTTATTGGCGAAAGAGCAAGTAACCACAATAAAGCTCCCCCTAGACTCCGCACAGGTGAGTTAAATTCCATGCAGTCAGGATGGGAACGAAGATCAGAAGAGGAAAGAGTATGTTATAGACCTAAAGAGTTGACTGCCCACCTAGCTAGATTTATCCTCTAGGGGCAGAGAACAATATTGGGAGACTACAGTGCAGTCATGGGATGTGTGCGCTTACATTGGTGCATGTAGTTAGAGAAATAACTGTGTGTCTATATGGGGTTGCCTGCATGTGTATCAGCTAGTGTGGATATAGGTGAATGTGTGTGCATGTTAATGGGTTTTGTGTGTGTGTGTGTATGTGTGTGTGTATATATATATATATATATATACACACACACACACACATGCCTACAAATGTGTGCGTGGTTTCTGAAGAATGTTTTGTAGATGTATGTGTGACTGTGTGTAGCTGCATGGAGGTGTGCAGCGGTGTGGATGAGTGTGTGATTATGAGGATGTGAATTAGTTCCTTTGCGCCGTGTGTGGTCTCTGTAGGAGTGCATGTGAAACAGTGTGTGTTTGTAATGTTTCTTCTACATCAAACACATCCACAACAGTCACTTGCTCCTTGTTTAACAAGCAGCTTAAGACTTTCCTGACTGTCTCCTGGGACTCCTGTGCAGTCTATCAATGTAATCCCCAGCACTTAGCTGATCCATGTCCCTCTAATAGGTGAAAGTACCTCGCAGTCTCTGGAGAGATAGAGCTGCATTTTCCAAATATGGATGTTTTGGTTTTAATTGGTAATATTATCATTATCCTCTGGAAGTCCCTTAAGCAGCTGCATTTTCTCAGAGCGACCTTCTCCCATTCTCTTCCTCTACCCACATCTGCCTTTGTGCACGCTGGCTTGTTTGGAGGAATCTTTAAAAAGCCACCTGTGTGATAGTCCTTAATGAACATGCAGATTGATGGGCACAGAGGGAAACTGAAGGAGCAGCATGAGGGAAGCAGGCTTAACCGGATGACTATCTACAGATCAGGTGTTAGGAGCAGCAGCTTTGCTCAACTGTGTGAAATCCCTTGAAGCGTACAATCACTATCTGCCAGAGGGCCTGATTTTGCTTGCAAATCTATAGAGACAGCTTGTCAAGGCCCCAGAATCCAGTTCCTGAATATTCATAGGTCGGCCAAGCAGCATAGCTCACTGGAGGCAGGTTGGGACTTCACCAAAAAGTCCAGAGGATCTTGGCAAGGCAGGAGTTCCCTCACTAATGCTTGTGGGTTTGTTCCTCAGGCACTTTGAAGGCTGCTTTGCTGAGCAGTTCCTTGTCTTTTTGCTTCTGGAATTTAAGCATAGGCCTCAGTAAGCTCAGTTTTCTAGCCCTCTCCCCCTTTTTTTAAATAGTCTTTTTAAAAAGTTCAAGTCTTAAAGCAAGAGGGTCCATATCAGCTTCTTTCCCAGAAACAATGGTCAAACAGTAAGGACCCAATTGAGATCCTTTTGCTAAAGGCTGGCATGGCGTACAGTGCCAACAAAATACCTTCCGAAGACTTCTCTCTCCTCATGTCTCCCTCTCTTTCCCTTTTCCCTCCAAGAGGAGCCCATTGTTTTGTGTGAAATTAAAAGGAATTCCCAAGTCCTTCCTCAGTGGACCAAGGAACCAGTATGCAGAAGCTTTTAGATCAGGGGTAGATTGAATGCAGAGCCCTGTAATGAGAGAGGACTCGACTGTGAGTCTCCAAAGTGGAAGCCTGTAGTCCATGTGCTTCACTGAGAGCAGTCAAAAGCTACTTCTTATCCACAGCCCTACTTACTTTGTGTCATTCCCAGAAAAGACCCCCAAAGCCATCTTTTGGCGTGACCATAGAGTCCCTAGTGAACAGCGACAGTCACAGGCAGCGAGTGTGGGGAAAAGTCCTCCAGAAATTGAGTCTGCTGAGTGGATTCTGGTGCAAGCTTTAGGCACACACTGGCCTCTGTTGCGCTGTTGTTGTTGATGGAACTGTTGTTGCGGAACTGCTCCTTGGCAGGACGGATGGCCACCATGAACTGGCGCTTGAAGGTCTCACTCAGGGCAATGTAGAGGAAGGGGTTGAGGCAGCTGTTGGCATAGCCCAAGCTAATGGCGAAGTTATAGGCATAGAAGAAGGCAACAGAAGGCGTGTCAATGCCGAGATGTACCAGCTGGAGGATGTAGAAGGGGGCCCAGCAAATGAAAAAGGCAGAGCAGATGGCAACTGCCATGCGGGTGACTTTCTTGGTACGTACCTGGAGGCTCCTCTGGGGAAGGGGGACCACAGTGGTAGCCATGTGCTGGAGGATCTTAAAATAAACAACACAGATGACAATCAGTGGGATAGCAAAGGCCAGCATGAACTGGTAGAGCGTGAACCAGTAGACATCAGTCTCAGGGTTGGGAAGCAAGAGAGCACAGCGGACAGTCCCATCCTCCAGAGGCATCAGGCCTGCATACATCCATACGGGAATGATGGTCAGGAAGGAAAGAAGCCACACCAAGCAGATTACTGAGGCTGCTACACATGGTGTCCGGACATAGGTGGATTTCAGAGGGTAGACGGTTGCCAGGTAACGGTCGAGGGTCATCACTGTCAGGATGTTGGTGCTGGTGATCTGGCTGTTAGTGTCCAAGGCGGTGATGATGGTGCACAAAGGAGCCCCGAAATACCAGGCGCCGTTACCAAGGAGCTGGTGGATGAGGAAAGGCATGCCCAGCAGGAAGAGGAGATCCACGATGGAGAGGTTGAAAATGAAGATGTCGGGCACCGTCTGCTTGCACCTCAGCTTCTTCTTCTTGACAATGGTGTAGATGACGATGAGATTCCCGACAATGCCCAGGAAACAGATGATGCCGAACAGGCTAGGCATGATCACATTGGTGTAGGGGGCTGCCCTTTCTGCCACTGCCAAAACAAACCAGAGCCGTGAGTCTTAACAGCCTGGGCTTCATCCCCCACTGTGCCAATACCCCTGTGCAGCTGGATTTCTCCTCAGCTCAGAGACAGGTTTAAGGAATTCTGAAATTGTGTGGATACTAAAGTGGGGGTAATTTACATCTTTTCCTGCCCTGCCCAATGCACATGGCACACCAGCTTAGTTTCACATTTACATCCTCTTTGCCATATAAGCATCCCCATAATGCAGTGGTTTTCAAACTTTTTTTCGGGCGACCCAGTTGAAGAAAATTGTTGATGCCCGCGACCCAACGGAGATGGGGATGAGGGGTTTGGGGTGTGGGAGGGGCTCAGGGCTGGGGCAGAGGGTTGGGGTGCGGTGGTGAAGGCTGCGGGGTGGGGCCGGGAATGAGGGGTTCAGGATGTGGGAGGGGGGTTGGGGTACAGGAGGGGGGTCAGAACTCTGGGCTGGGGGTGCAGGCTCTGGGGTGGGGTCGGGGATGAGGGGTTTGGGGTGCATGAGGGGGCTCCGGGTTTGAGGGGGCTCAGGGCTGGGGCAGGGGTTTGGGGTGCAGGAAGGGGCTCTGGGTTGGGGGGGGTCAGGGCTGGAGCAGGAGATTGGGACGTGGGGTTGGGGCATGGGTTTACCTCAGGCAGCTCCCAGTCAGTGGCACAGCGAGGGTGCTAAGGCAGGCTTCCTGCCTATCCTGGCACCGCAGACTGCGCTGCGCCCTGGAAGCAGCCAGCAGCAGGTCCAGCTCCTAGGCAGAGGCGCGCAAGTGGCTCCGTGTGGCTCTTGCCCACAGGCACCATCCCCTCCCCTCGCTCCCATTGGCCATGTGGAGCCGGTGCTCGGGGCAGCACGTGGAGCCCTGTGGCCCCCCGTCTAGGAGCCAGACCTGCTGCTGGCCACTTCCGGGGTGCAGCGTGGGATCGGAACAGGTAGGGACTAGCCTGCCTTAGCTGGGCAGCACCACTGACAGGACTTTTAACGGCCCAGTCAGCGGTGCCGACCAGAGCCACCACAACCCAGTGCCTTACATTCTGCGACCCAGTACTGGGTCACGACCCGCAGTTTGAAAACCACTGCCATAATGTACCTCAGTCCTGACTTGAGACAGCTATGCCAATGTACCTCAGCTCTGACCTACCTCCTGCAAGAGGTCTCTAAAGCTTCTCCTAAATACTAAGGCCAAGGTTTTCAAAAGCGGGTGCCTAAAATTAGGCCTCTGAGTCCATATTTAAGCACCTGATTTTCAGTAGTGCTGAGAACCCAGCTGAAGTCAATGGAAGCTGCAGCTGTTCATCACTTGTGGAAAGCATTAGGCCCAGATAACCAAATTCATTTTCACTTGTTATGTTGATAGTCTCTGTAGGTTAATGGCCCAATGGCCAATGCCAACTCACACCTGATTTCTCTGCATGACATCCCAAGTCTGAGTTAGTGTTTGCTGAAACTACTGCCTTGTCAGGAAGCACCACGAACCACATGTGCAAAGAGAAGACCACCATCCCCAGCGGAGGCAAATCACTTTTTATCTTGTTATTTTTCTCCTATGGGGTATGTTGTTTCCATGGGAAGTCATTGTGTAATTTATTTGTGTGCCTGTTGAAATTATATGCACTACAGTTCTCGCATCCCCTAAGCCCACTCTATGACTGGCTCTCATTGAATTGCAGATGATTCAAACTGATTTTAATTGGGAACACTTTTCAATTACTCTATTCTTCTGTCTCCTTAACAACTTGTTCCTGCAGGGGTGTAGTGCAGGAAGTGGGGGACATTTACAGTAGAACCCAGAGAAATAAAAACTAGCAAATATGTCACTAGTGTTCAGTCCCTCTGAACAGCAGATACCCATTCAGGGCCAAGTATTGCCAGTTAAAACTCTTGAGTCCAAAATTTTATCTGTTACATCAGAGTAAATCTGGAGTAACTTGACAGAAGTCAATGGAGTAACTCTCAATTTACACCGAGGGTGGGGTGGGGGTCAGAGAGCAGGATCAGACCCAGGACTAGCAAAACAGACTTGTGCCACCTCAATCATGTCATGTTTGCTTTCTAGGGAGCAGAGATGTGACAAGTCGCTGGTACCGCTATGCTTTTGACACTTGGAAGCCTCACGATGAGTCATAAACAAAGCCAGGTAGGAACATTTTGAACCGATAGCCATATGCATCCTATCTCAAGCATCCGCACAGTTGACAGAACGCAGCCAATCAGCCACAGATGGGAAGAGCCTTGTCACAGGTAAAGCAGACTGGTTTGCTAAGGATTCATATTTGTATCTCCAGCAAAGACAGCCCCCTGCTGCTTCATCTGCTGTTGATTCGAAACTGAAGTGAATGATGAGAATCTGTTTGGCTGATGTCTTAGGAACACTCTGTCCAAACTAACTGAAAATATATTATCCATAAGAAAAAAATCCATATGCCTGTGAGATTTTCCTGCTGGTGCCCACCCTCCATGTTCAGCTCATAATAGAAATAATTTTGGCATAGGCTGTTTCCAGGGGATTAGTGACCCACTGAGCTTAATGGCCCCTGTCATGGCTGTGGTTGAAGTGTATCAATTCCTCCCAGCTGGTCATTAATCCCCAAGAAAAGCCCTGTGCTCTATGGCTTTAAATAACACTCTGCCATAGGAACACAATTGAGACCTGTTGTTGCTCCCACATTATCAAGCCCACACATCTCCAGAGCATCCAGACTGGCCTCCCTCTTTCCCAGAGCCTGGAGGTGGGAGACTCTCCCTCCAAGCTGCTATATAGTAGCTAGTATGAGATGTGTGTCCTCACCCCCCACTTCCAGGAACAGGGAGGATTGTGTTATTAAAACACAGGACATTCTATTCAGAGTCCCAGCCGTTAAAATGTACTTTGCTGGTGTACAACTGAGTTTTTTAAAATGCTTGTAGTGGTTTTGTAATGTTTGGTACAAGCACAAATAATTTTATAGCAAAGTTAATGTAAGTACAAAGGCCTCACATAAAGGATTATTTCTATAGCGCCTTTCATCCTGGATCCCAAAGAGCTTTGAAGACTTTGTATTTAAAGCACCACTAAAAAGAAGCCAACACTGGGATGGAGGGCAGCATGTATGCAGACGACTGGTGCAGTGTGTACTGAAGGACAGTGGAAATAAGGGGAAACTTTAGCCAATGAGAGACACAGACAGTCAGTGCAGTGTAGACAGGACCTTAGGGTTTAAGGCCATATGAGTAAGTGTTGCAATGAATTTAGTGTGTGTGTGCACTAGTGCCCTCCACTGAATAAAATCAGAACTACTCAGCTGCGTGGATTAGACTCTGTACTGCTACCATCTGAAGGAGATTCTCCTTTAGCTCAAGTGGGTAGGGACTTTCAGAGCAGAAGGATCTGAGCTCTATCTCCATGGCTCCAAAGTGGCCATGCACTGCAGAATTATGACAACTACTTGAATTCTTATATGGCAACAAGATTTGTCACAATTTGGCGTTACTGTCCTTGTTAATGGCTCTACATCTCATCCTGTGATCCATAATCAGTCAAAACATGCATTCACTTTAGTGGAAATTTTGCCTAAATGAGGATCACAGGACCTGGCCTACAGAGCTTTACCTCTAAGGTGAGAATGTACTTGTAACAAACGTATCCAAATACATATTAAACTGTCAAATACGTATTAAACTGTCTTTTAGTGTGTTTGCTAGCCAAGGACTTAAAGTGAAGCATTCAGTGAATAAAGGTGACGGTGTCATCCACCTTCTGAAATAAGGAGCTAGATCCTCAGCTGGTGTAAATATTCATTGCTCTATTGCAGTAGTTCTCAAACTTATTTGATCGGATCTCCCTTATTTGTGTCTGTAGTCATTTATGTCATTTCCCCCCCCCCCCCGCCAGTACATATACCGCCACCCAGCTCTGAAGGCAGAGGGGAGAGCAGTAGCTGCTAGCCAGATGCCCAGCTCTGAAGGCAGCGCTGTGCCAGTAGCAGCACAGAAGTAAGCGTGGCCATGTGAAAAGTGATATTTGTAAATATCACTTTTCACAGCAGACTTAGTGCCCCATTGCCACCCTTCTGCGCTGCCACCCTGGGGCTGATGGCTGGAGTCCCACCATCTCCAGGTGAGGGATTAGGAAGGAGCGGGGAGAAGGAGAGCCAAGCCTGGGCTGCCTCCTTTTGAAGGATGAGGGTGTGTGAGAGGAGAGCCTGGGCTGTCAGCCCCTGGGACATGGGGGCTCCAGCTGTGCCCTTTATCCCCACCTCCCGGTTGTGCACAACCTTTCTGCATGAGCCCCATGACAGACAGAGCTCTTTAAAAAAACACCCACACCCAGCTTGCACCTCCCTTGACACTTTCCTGCACCTCCCCTGGGAGGCCAGCCCCCCCTAGCTTGAGAACCGCTGCTTCTATTGATATCAGTGTCAGATCCTCAGCTGCTGTAGATCCTTGTAGTTCCTTTGAAGTCAATGGAACCTCACCAATGGTACACTACTGAGCGCCTGGCCTAATGGGCTTCTTCACAGGATAAACCATATTGGCTTCTGACTATAAGGTGGTAGCAAGGTCCAAGGGATAAAGCAAAGGACCCAGGACCTGGGTTTTGCTCCCAGCATTACCAGGTTCCCTTTCTGATCCCAGCCACACTGCTTACCTTCTCTGTGCCTCATTTCCCAGCTGTACTTCCCCTCCGCTGTGAAATGCTTTGAGAGCTAGGGCTCAAACGTGCCGCCGTAATGCTAGGAATTGTGATGATTATTGCCTTAGGCTCAGAATGCAGTGGAAGGATTTCAACTGGCTATTACGAATGTTAGAATAAAAAATAATAAGGCTGAACCCAAAGCGTTCCGGGCTTGCCCTGGAGGGATGACGTCCCTCGCACTACGGCTATCGGTTAATTGAAAGGGATCTTTGCTGGGAACTTTGCACGCTGCCGCATTCAACTTCTCCCTCCCTTCGCACTCTGCACGGAGCCCCCCGGCGGGGTCCAGAGAGCGGCCCCCAGTGGAGCCGGGAGACCAGCGCAGGAGCTGTCCAGCCCAGCTGGTTCTGAAGTGTAAATTTCACCAACTTGCCGCGTGTCTAATTGGGGTGGGGGCGTGGGGGGACGGCCGAGGGAGGGGAACGGAAGCGGAGAGCACAGCCCTGTTCCCCGAGGGTTACGGGGCAGGCCAGGAAGAGGCGCTAAAGCAGAATCTCCCCTCGGTCCAGGCTCAGGGCATCTTCTTGGAGCCGGTTCCGTTTCAAGCCCGGAAAGTGCAGGGCGTATAGGTGGGGCCAGCGCTGGGCTCCCCCAAACCTCCGCATACCGGTAGCCGGCACCAATCAAAGCAGCAACAAGAGATCCCCTTGCCAGAGGCTTCCCTGCCCACCGGTCCCAGCCCATCCCGTAGGGTCTGCTGCCCTCAGCCCCGCGGGTCCCCCGGCCCGCACTTACCGGACCCGTTCCTGGGAGCCCAGGCGGAGCAGTTCCTTGGGCACTGGGACAGGGAGTTTTCCGAGGCCATCTGGCATCTAGAAGGGGAGCCACGAGGCGAACCTCAGCCGGATTCCTCGCCTTGCCTGGACGCCTGGCCGCTCCCCGGCATCTCTCTGCGGGCCACGGGGCGTGGGAGAGGGAAGGGGCCGGCGGCAGGCGGGGCAGGGTCTCTTGGGCAAGTTGGCAGGGAGCCGGCTCCGAGGGACTTCAGCGGGCCGCCGGGCTGGGCGGCTGGAGCCGATGTTCCGGGCGCTGCACGGGTCTGGCGGCTGCGGACATGAACTTGGCTGCTTCGGTCCCGGCTCCGGAGAGAGCTGCGGGGGCAGCCGAGCCTGCAGCCCCTAGCGGCGGGCGCCGCGTCAGCCTCCAGCGCCGCTGCCCTGCGCCCGCAGCTGGGTCAGCCCCGCATGCACTGCCGCCGCCGCAGCGCTGGCTGCCCGGGAGGAGCGGCGGCCGGGGCTGGTCTCCCGCCCCCTCCCCGGGGCGCTCAGCGCCGCAGCACTGACATCAAAGAGCAGCTGACTCCGGCCGCCAAGCACACGCGTTCACACACAGCGGTGTGCTGCGTGGCATTGGCAAGCGGCGCCGCCGAGAGCCGGGGGCGGAGCGGGGATGGAGGGGGTCCTGCCCAGGAGACAGCGATCCAGCCAGGCAGCCGCTTCCTTCCACAACGGGACTCTGTCTGCCCTGGCAGGCTCGGGGAAGAGGACGCGGGCACAGTGTTCAGCCTGGTGTCCCCTGTGGTAAACCTCGCTGGACTTTGGATCAGGCGGGGTGGGAGGTATGGGGGGGAGGTGTGAGGAACCAGCTCCCCCATGGAGGATATCTTCTCCATTCTCCTTGTGTATTTCCCCTCTCCCCACACTCCTCCCACTCCCAGGACTGACCCCCAGCTAGACATGGTCCCAAATACAAGGAATTAGCACAACGATTCCCAAACTTTCCCATACTGGGTCCCTCCAGGGCTCCCTCTCATCTAGCTGGGATTCCCCCCCCTCCCATTTACCAACTGGAGAAGGGCAGAGTGGTCAGGAGTGCCTGACATTGGTTCATGACCCTCCCCAGAGGTCATGAACCCCAGTAGACAAACCCTAAATTAGCACATGGTGCCACCCCTGATTTCCCCTTCCTGGAGCTGAAATCCTAAAGAGATGGTTCTGCTCAGCCCAGTCAGATACATACATCACTAGCCATGGATTTTGGTGTGTTGTCGATGAGCCCCATATGGATTGAGGTTGAGCTCAGCAGTGCTCCCTTGGTTGTAATGAGTCATTTTCTGGCCACCAGTGAGAGTTTGATATGATCAGTTTTTGTCTTTTCGATTGTTCTGCTCTCCTGGTGGCAAACGGGCAATATAGATTTCTCTCTCTCACGCACACACAAAGTGCTTTCGTCAGTGAGTCAGAGCAAGCACCACTAACAGATTTGAGGGAGTGCTGTGGGCTGTCAAGACACCAGATAAATTACCCACCGAAAAGTGTGTAAACACGTTTCATCCTCTGATCCCCCTCAGCTTCCTCTGACTCAGGCTGCATGTTTCATTCCACGTTTGAGATAGTTCTTCTTGTAATCAATTCAACATTTATTATTGAATTATTTATTGATTTGATTCCTGAACCTGGAATTATTTTTTTTAGACTTTAAGTTTAGCTTTAGCTCTCTCCATGTACCATTGTGAGGGCTGAGATCAGCGGAGTGGTTGCTTTTCAAAAGTGCTGTGCACCCACATCCTTAGTTGAAGTCAGTGAGAGCTGCAGGGACTCAGTATCTCTTAAAATCAGGCCCTTGGTGTGCACTTCTCATGACTCATACATGGATTGTCATTTCAGCAGAGTTTGACCCTAGCACCGCAGCTTGGCCCTCCAACCACTTAAGTTAAAGGAGTATATCACCATTAGCTGGCAGCAGCAGTAGGCTGTTATCCTCTAGTGGATTAGCCACTAAAAGGAAGATGTGACACTTGCATTGCCGATGTGTTATGCACACAGAAGGACTGGAGGCAGGAAGTGGCAAATTCTCCACTGACGTTTTACTGGTGTAAGTAAGTGGAGAATTTGACCCAAGATGTTTCTCAGCAGTTGGTTACCCATGGGATATGAGAATGTGTGGAATCAGTGAAGCTTATGGAAAAGTGACATTGTCGAGAAGGTAGATATGTTTCTTTAAACAGCTTTTTCCAGACCCAGTTTTAAAGTCTGTCTTACTTTTCCCAGGGGAGGAAGTGGCTTTCTGAACAGACACCAGTTTTTCTACAAAGTGGAAGTTTGACATTTAAGCTTCAGCAGGTTTCCAAAGCAAAGCATTATTTTGGCACTTACACCTCTAACATTATTGTTCACTTGTGAAACAGTTGCAGCATTAAAGGAAAACTGCAATACAACTTCTCAGATACCTGAGGTATGATAGACCACAATGTCAATATCTCCCAATGCACAAGTGGAATGGGCTTATCTTCCTGTAATCTGATACTCTGCACTTCAGATTCACTTTATCATCAACATCATAATTTTATGGTATTATTCCACATTGTATTATTCATCATTTCTCTTAAGGCCTCAGCAACACTGTGACCCTATTGTGCTAAACCCTGTACAAACATACAGTAAAAGGCAATCTCTGCCCCCAATGGATTTATAGTCTAAAGGACAAGCCATAGCAGGTGGATTAAACCAATGGGGAAGAGAGGATGGGATAACAAAACAATCAGATGTGTTAGCATAGACTAGATGCATGCACAATTCATAGCCCATCAGTAGAAGCAATAGGAGTAATCAACTCACCACCTGCCTGGCCATTGTGAGACAGCAGTTTTCTGTGTGTATTATGCCGGTTTATCTAAATCCGGATCCAGCAGGCAAAACTGCCATTGAAATCAATTGTAGAAATTGGAAATGTAGTATAAGTGTTAAACTAACCACTTTGTCTAATTGCAATGAAAATTGAGTCACTAACCCGCAGTGAAAATGTGCCTTACATTAAAAGAGAGAGTCATTAACAACCAAACAGGGGGCTGCCATCTTGCTAGTTTAATGAAGTAGGTTAAGGCACAGGAAATGGAGGAAAGCCACTTGAATGCATAAGAAAGGTGGAGACTTCCAAAGTTGTTGAAAGGCAAATTCTATTATTGGGAAACAAATCTGGTTGCTTTAACAACAGTTTAACACTGAAAGTCTCTTGCATTCCAGTGTTGAGTTGCATTTCCTGTGTCTCTACCTATGTCCCTGTCTTATGCAGTATGAGCAAAACTGCAGCAAGCCCTGGGGGAGATGCTGGTACAATCCACAGTTACAAAACTATTATAACAGTCTCTCCAACCGGTTTTGCAAATGAATTTTTAAATTCATTCTTACTTAGTAAATATTTACTTAATACCTAGATACTACTCTGATTGGCACTCTATACACTAGCTAAGGGCCTAACCCTGCAAATCCTCATGTACATAATTAGCCCACTGGCATCACTATTCATGCAAGTCGGGGTTTGCAGGATTGTGCTTGATGATATTAATACTAATCACAACCATTTTCCTTTAAACTGATCAAATGAATACTGTGGGTAAAATTCAGTCCTGTGCAGAAAACCAGCACAAGGGCTATGCACCACTTGCATGTCAAAATCAGACTTATATGGTTCATTGGCCCTCAGTACAGGGTTGAATTTCACCCTGTTTGAGCTGGTGGTATTTTGCAATCTCTGTGTAATAGTCATATTTTGCACTTTTACAGCCCCTTCTAGCCAAGAATCTCAAAGCACTGCACAACCATTCATTCATTTAGCCACTCTCACCCTGGGAAGTAGATAAGCATTATCACACTCATTTGACAGATGAGACAAGGGAGACACAGAGAAGTTAAGTAACTTGCACAAAGCCATGCAGTGAGTCTGTGGTAGAGCAAAGTGCAAACCCTGTGTTCCTAACTCCAGGTCTGCCCTTAGCTACAATACCATCTTCCCTCATCTTGTGTTTTTGTGCATTGCTAATGAATTTTTCAGAGTGAATTAAGTTTTTTCTCGGCTGCTCAATAAAATAACCTGTATACATACACATATCCCTTTACAAGCATGGATGCTGGCTAATTGGTCACTTCAAACTTCTTTTTATCTGAGCTGAATGTCAAACGGGGTATTCATCTGAACCTAGAAAATCACTTCTTCTCTCACTGCCACTTTCTTGCCATTGAAATGAAAGATTAGAACTGTCTGGTCAGCCCGTTAGTAATTCTAGTCTCAAACTGCTAAGTTGAGGCTTTGGTCTTTATGCCCTGCTTCCCCTGGCTGATTGCAGCGAGCCAAAGGCCAAGGCAAGTGGCTCCTGCAGCTTTCTTTTCCTTGTTAAAGGTTAAAGAATCCAAAGACAAAAGAACAGCCAAAAATAACAAGGAGGGACAAGTAGCTCTCCACATTGCGCAGGGAAGTGGAGAGGTCTACTGGCACCGGGATGCCATGGCTGTAACTGTCTCGGTAAGGTCAGGGATATGGATATGTGCTCAGCAAATGGACACATTCCGCTGTTATGATAAGAAATTCCAGGGTTGTACCAGTATCTAGTATCAACAGCAAGGAGCCCTGAGGGAGGCAGGTATTGCCTCAGGGTAGAATGCTAGTTACTTCCCATTTATAAGAACAGATAGGGCGAGGAGGCAGCTGCAGTTTTAAATGCTGCGAAGTCCAGAAATGAAAATGTTTGGGGTTGAATAGTAACTCATCTACAACTGTGTGCACGAGGCCCGATTTTCCCTTCACTTGCCGCACCATACTTCTACTGCCTCCAGTGGATTTACACTCCTGATTTACACCAGTAAGTCAGAGGTGTAATAAGTCCCTGTGCTACATCTGAGCAACTCCCATCAACATCATTTGAAGAGGTGGGTGCAGATCTGAAGGCAGAAATGGGCCCATTGCATATGACATATATCAGCATCACTATTAGTCCACAATACTAGATGCACAAGTTCCCCTTCTCGCTTACCATGGGGCATCCCCATTGACTTTGATAGCGTCACACCAGTGAGACTTTGAAAGGAGAAT